AACAGTGTTAGAAGCTGAAAAAACCTTTGTAGCATCATAAAATATTTTCATAAATTTGACAAACACTCTAGAATCTGTCGAGTCAATACATGTAGGTGCTCTAGTTGATCCAAAATAGTCTAAAAAATTAGGATCCTCAAACTTGAGTCTCTCAAAAACAACTTCAAAATTTTCTACACTATCCAAGATGGAATATGTAGAATTCCACCTAGTGGGAACATCTAGACATACTAGTTTTTTACTCAGAATTCTAATAAACTCTACACAGTCCTTAAACTTACGCAACCTTTGAGGGGATGACCTAACAAATCTAACAGCATTGCGTATGCTGAAAATTGAGGTATTAAGATCTTTTAGTCCATCATTCACCACCAAATTTAGTATATGACTACAACACCTCATGTGAAAAAATTCTCCATCTAAAACTAGTCCAACTATATTCTTCAACCTGTTTTTTAAGTATGTCACCGCCACATCATTTGCTGAAGCATTATCAACAGTAATTGTAGAGATATTCCTAAGTCCCCAGTCTTGTAAAACTTCTTTTACATGCTTCTCCAATGTCTCACCTTTACGATTTTCTACTACAGAAAAACTTATTACCCTTTTGTGGTACTTTCAATCATTGTCAATATAGTGAGCTGTGAGAGCTAAGTAGTTCAAGTTCTATACAGATGTCCAACAATCAGTAGTTAATACAACCCTACTATTGTTTAACTTAAAGAAATCTTTTAACTTGACCTTCTCATCTTAGTACAATTCAAAACAATCTCTTGCTACTGTATGTCTTGAAGGAACACTAAATTGTGGCTGTAATTGCTTACAAATATGCCTAAATCCCTTCCCATCAACTACCATAAAAGGTTGTTCATCTATGATATTGAACATAGCAACAACCTTCCTACATGTATTCTTGTCAAACCTATGACTAGCTACTGTTAATTGACTACAATTAGGAGCAAAAGTAAGTACAGATTGATTGGGATCACTTGTAACAGCATATGGAAAAAAATTGCATCCTTGATATGCCCAAGCATATTAGATGTACCATGTAACTTTGTATCACAACAATATGTCTTATTGCAATATTTGCAAGCAGCTTAAGGATCTTTTCCCTCTACTACTGGAATTTTAATAAAATGATCCCATGCAGATGAGGATTTACGTGTACCACTAACATTAGCTTTCCGTTTTCTAATAGGTTTTGAAAGAGATTGTGATGAATTAGGTTCTGCATTCACAGATGTAATCTGAGGTTGATCAGCGGGCTGACTTTCACCACTACTAACTGCTATAGGGGCAACATTGGTGGGAATTATAGCAGCAATCCTCAGAGTAGTGTGTGAGGTTGGTATCTCTTGATTTAAAATATTTTCACTGAACTATTGCATCACTGATCCAATATACAATATGCACTCAGTTTGTGTGATTAATGAAAATTAGTTATAGTGTATACATATAAGCATTTTGGTAAGACTGTGACATTGTGCAATATCTTATACTTCAACTATAACCAAGGAATATTATTCATAAGTCTTGTGCTTACTTCTATGTCTTAAGAGTCTTATAGAGCTGTTAATTCATATTTTTATTTTATTTATTAATTTTAAAGTTTATGCTTATACAAAGTGGTGGATTGTTTAGTTAATTCTCTTATTTATTAATAATTTTTATATTTAATAACACAAAACAAGTCAATAAACAAATAATACACAACAATTAGTATGTTTTTGTTTATGTTTAGTGAAAATATGAATGTGAATTACTTCTAATAATAGTATAACAAGAAAACAAACAAACAATACACAAACAAGACCAAAATTAAATTTAATATATTTGTAAAAATCATAAACATATTTAATCTTACTTAATTGATAAGATAAAAAAAGATATTATCAATATTACTACTCACTGTTAATAATAAAGTTATAAAAAATTGATACATAGAAATTAAATTATGAACTATAATATAAAAAAATATAATAAAATAGAACCTTAATATTTGTCAACAATGATTTATATGTCAAGTGATATCTAGCTCCTCCCTCTTCTTATTTGCTTCCTATTTTGCTAGCAACGAGTTTCCTATAACATCAACAATTAACCAAATAATAAGATTCAAAATACAAAAACATTAATCATAAGAAAAACAACAGTATTGCAATATCTATATATAGAATAAAAAAATAAAAAAACAAATAAACATAAACATAAAAATAAAAATATTTTTCTTTATTTGCATATGATTCAACTTAATATTATTAAAAATCCCTAAACATGTCTCTATGGAAAGATTGAAAATGTCAATTAGAGACAGTGCATGAGTTCATATTACCATCTAAACATGTCTCAATCCTCATGGACCCAATACTAAATAAAATTTTTCATTTATAATTACCAAGGTAATTACTATTATATCTTCAAGAAAAATAGCAAAATCATTAAAAAAAAAAGAATTTAATCAAACATAGATATAAATTACATAAGATGAAACATTGAAAATTCACGGGGACATTGTCCAACCATGGGCATTCTAAACATTAAAAGAGCAAAAGAATCAAATATATCAAAATTTACCCAAGTTAGGATATTTTATTTTGCAGCAATCTCATTATTCACTAGCTGACAACATTGTAATTCAATGCCAGGTTCATTATGGTAATCATTGTAGTTAGTTTGTGGTAAAATTCACAAGTAGAGAAAAGGCAAACATTGTTTGTGTGATCTGTTATATGCTTTCAGGCAGTCTTTAGGTGTCGATTTCCTACTGTTATATGGCTTTCAAATGTGAAATTATGCAATGATACAATAATATTACTCAATTTTCTGGTTCCAAAGTGCAGGTTGGATTTTGGAAGCAAAGGGATTTGACAATGTGGCTCTAGTAAGTCTAATGTGTTACACTTTCACTTTGTATTACCTGACAAATATGTGAGATTCACAATGCATTATGTATATACTTTCTATATACGGGCAAGAATACTATTGTATTCTTATATATAAAGCAATATAGTTTCATAAGTGTACAATAAACTTAAAAAACAGAATTTGGGATATCATTTACCAGTTGATAGTAATGCCATTTCTTGAACCTATAATATATCCATTAAAGAGGAACAAAGATGACATAGAACAAATAATATACTAATTAACTCAAAAAGTCATCATGTGTAACATAGGAAAGTTTACAAAACAAAACATCCAAAAGGCAAACAAAACTAAGAAAACAAAACTAAGAATTTCAAAGTTTTACAAAAAATACTTATAGCAAACATCGATCTCATCATATCTTGCTCTGCGGGTAGAGTAAACTTCAAGCATCAGGTTTTGCTTTTGGGGACAACACTGCATTTCAACGTGTTTGGGTCTTTCAAGTGTGGCGAGTCCTGAAAAAATAAGACAATAAAAACTTGAGGAATAATAAAACAGAAACAGAAAAATCGCAGCACTGTACGTCTATATCAGTTAGAATCAACTTACTTGCCCTTAAGAGAAAGCAAAACCCACCAAAGCTAAGAACCCCTAAAAGATGAGTCACCTTGACATTTACAAAGAGGAAAAGAATAACACATCAACATCGAAACTTGTTCAATATTAACACACCAAATAGTCGTATATGACTAAGAAAAAACATATAATCATGACAAGAATAAGTTGATGCTGAAGCAACATTTAATGACTAACAAACAACACAAAACACAAGTCAACCTAGAAAAAAAATACTATTTCTTACTTAGAATACACAAATCTCCAAAATCCTTCATTCGAGCATATGTGTAACATGAAAATAAATGGAAAGAGATCTAAGAAAGGACCTTATCAGAAGAAGCATCAGCGAAAATAGAGAAGAAGGTTTTTGAAAAAGAATAGCGTAGTTGCTATGAAATAGAGAAGACGACAAGATATGATTTTGGGAAGAGAAAAGTGTATTTTATGCATAAATCCAAGAGAGAAGACAACGAGAAGGTTTTTGGATGAAAATGATTTTGGAACCACAGTGGCACAAAAAGAAGCTTGTTTCCAAGTAGGGTTTCTTTCTTTTATTTTTTGGGTAACATAAACCGGGTTAGGAATTTTGGGTTGGGCAATAACAGATTTTGTGATGGGCTAATTTTATGATGGGCTGGTAAGTTCTAATAAAATTATAGTATTTATTCGGTCAGGTTGGATAAAGTTGGTTAATAAAATTATCACCCATTTCCATCCGACTCAATCTATTTATAACTGAAAAAAAAAAAACATTCAGTTAACCTGTTCTGCATTAACCCACCTGACTTTCAGTTTCGGATGTTCAGTTTCTCCAGTTTCGGGCGGATTGCGAAATCTTGAGTAGGCCTAGCCATAATATCAACATCTAACATGAAAGGTGGATTGAAAGATATATGCCGTGCAATATCACTCTGGTGTGCACCTGTGACAAAATGTTGCATTGGACTAGGAGTAATGAAAGAATCTGACATGAACTGATGACTAGGGCTTGCCATAAACTGTTGACTCGGGGTCATACATGGTTGGCTAGGGCCTGCCACGAACTGGTGCTGAGAAGGGCTAGCCATGTACTACTGGTGGATATGTCCTAACATGAAGTGTTGGCTAGGTCCTGACATGACATGCTAGCTAGAGTACATGGGTGTTGGCTAGTGTATATGCTATGATTGACCCTCAGTTTGGTGGCTATGTTGTGCTTGAGGCTGTAGGCTGGAATCTACATTAGGTTATACATGGTCATCCTCATCATGTGCCTCATATGGATATTGACGTCTCCTAGTATGTGTACCAGCACACAAACGACACCTGAAAGATCATCTATCTGAGACGTCAGCAGGATGTACTATCTCCGGTGCTTAGGGGGAATAAAGTGCTACACCATCAGGCAAATCCCTAAGCTCTGGATCCTGGAGGGCTTCATCTAGTGATAAAAATCTATTTGTTACTAACAAATACCATTGAAAATACTCAACAGAGGGACGATCATCATCAGCTAGCGGATCATGAACTCTTCACTCCCTACGTGCCTCCCATGCAGCATGCCATGTCACATGATACTCAGACCACCAAATATCTAGATCACCCCTTCCATCCTTAGCGTGCAATTGATCAATGTTTATGGGGACGATTCTTATGTGTTGTGCTCCACCAAATTGTTGAACCACGTGATCAGCTGGATGCCACTCAATCACAGCAAACTGGATAAGAGCAGTCACAAATGCCCATATATCAGCCTCATCATAAACAAAACGAGGTGTAAGATTCCTCACCTTATTGTTGTTGTAGGGCATCCACCTAAACTGAAATAATTAATAATAAATATTAGACTAATAATGTTTATAATTGAATAGAAGACTTAGTACCATATGTCATATTTTTACTTACCCCATTAATGCCAATTGAATCAATGATCCTCCTATATCGCAACAACTTATCTATGTGTAATCTCGTTGATGACCTATAACTTTTCCACCTAAAATGAACATAATTTAATTTCATGCTTGCATATTTAACATATATAAATATACTATTATAAATTAAATGAACATACCTCAATGTTAGTGGAAAAGTGAGTGGATGATGGTGTCGAGGGGCCAATTGAGGTATTTTGTACCATGCCTAAGACTGTAGAAGAGGTAGACAACCCGCAATATCAATGACATTATATTTTACTACACAACAAAGTTCATGATAAAAGGATCCTAGAACAGCAAACCCCCAACTATAGTTTGTAATTCCAATAAAATCAATGAGAAGAGGGAGTCACTTTATATGAACCCTAAAACTAGATTTATCTGAGAACAATACTCCGCCCAATAGAATCATTATGTATGCTCTGGTATAACGGATAATAGTCTCCTCATAAGCATTATGGGGTAATGCTCCAAATGTATCTATGAACCAGTGTAGATTTATAGAAAATCCTTTATGTTTGCCTCATGTGGAACTACTCCAAGTAAATCTCCACACAATGCCCATATATCTCGATCATAAAATTTCTCTCGCTCCAATACACCCACTCATAGGGAGTCTATCAACACGCAAGCCTAATTGAAACACAACATCCTCCAAACCAATTGTACATTCTCTGAATGGAAGATGGAATGTATGTGACTCAGACCTCCAACGCTCTACAAGTACACTATGAGTGGGTGGAGCAACCATCTGAGCAACATGCCAAAAACCACTTTGCTTAAGATATGGTTCTATCCTCGGATCTGGAGCAACCATCATATTATAGCATCTACTTTTTAAAATTCGAACATCCTATAAGATAAAAAAAAAATTATATATCAAGTATTGTTTATCAAAACTAAAAGAAAATACCAAAATAGTAAGCAATATTTAATTCATATATAATATGATATCTAATATACATAAATTACAACAAAATTATACTTAAATTAAATAACTCACATAATAAATTTAACAAATAATATAATTTAATTAAGATTATCTTAATATATCAAATCTATTAAAATGAATAAACAAATTATTACAATACGAATTAACAGTTAAAATTCTTCAATATATTGAACACACTAAATTTATATTTATTCGAATTCACTATGTTATAATCTAAATTTTACTTGCTTAAAACTATAATTATTTAATTTATGACAACAAATAGTAAAAATTCTAATATCAAATACACTTATAGTAAAATAATTGACAAATTAAATACGTAACAAAAATTATGTGCTATATATATATTATGATAGAAAATAAATATATAACAGACAAATAATTAAATATACAATAATTTTTTATATTTAACATTTTTTAATCAAACATTAAAAAAGATTAATGACAAATAAAATTAAAAATATTTCAAATAAATACAATGATATTTTTAAATATTTACCTGTGTCGACAATTTACTTGCAATATGATCAACAAAATTAAATCAATTTAAATCGTTATCCATCTCTCTTGCAGTAACAATGGACTTCTTTCTCTTTCTTTCTCTCAATGTATCACTATTACTGATGCTTCTTCCTCTCACTCCTAAGACAGCCATGGCGAGAGATAAATAGCCATGCAAAATTCGATTAAAGTCAAAACTCAGCCTTCCTTTGAAGTCGATTCAAATCGAATTTCCCATAAAACCAAAATCAATTTCAATCAACTTGTGTATTGTGGTGAAACTTAAACTAAAGTCGATTTGAATCGACTTCAATGCACCTACAAATATGGTTTGAATCGACTTCTGTAGGAGCGCAATGAACTTGAATGAAAGTCGATTTGAATCAACTTCTATGCATGTACAAATACGGTTTGAATCAACTTCTGTAAGAAAGAGTTGCGGTGCAGTGAGCTTGAACTAAAGTCGATTTAAATCGACTTCTATGCACTAGCAAAAGCAGTTTTATTTGACTTTCATTCAAGTTTTATTTTAAAAGAAAATCTATTCAAATAGTCTTCTTTAAAATTGATATTAGGACATTTATGTTATTTTTTTTATAATAGAATATTTACATTATTTTAAAAAAGCCTAAATTTTCATCCATGACACAAGTAAGTTGACCATTTTAGTTATTAAAATTTAAAAAATATTATATTAATTTCTATTTTTGTAAGATATTTTAGTTGCTAAATTTAAACACCATTAATATTTAATAACAAAAAATGACATATATGAATGAACATGTGACAAAAATAATATTATATATAATATGATATATATATATATATTATTTTTTTATTTTACTTTTTTAAAATTATTACTTGTCAAATATTTTAGTCTTTAATATTGTCATTAACATACATGTTAATAATTGATTTTTAAAAACATTCATTTATTTATAATTCATCTTTATTCTCTTTCAGCAAAAATTATATTCACTAACTACCACTTATATTTTTTATTAGCAACAAAGTTTGGACCACTAACTCTAATTAACTCAATTGAGCTGAAGTAGATATTAAACTAACCAACAAATATTGATGAGATAAGAACATCCTTCTCCATAACATCAAACACACTCTAACTACAACTCCAATCCTCCACTTGCACAAATTCCTATATCATTGTAATTCAAGAAGCCACATTTTTCTGCAGGTTATTATCAAACAACTTATTTACATTCATAACATTTTCAATAATAACATACCTAATAATCATAACAATCTAATAAAATAAATTGTCTTGTGACATTTGATCAAACACCTTGCAAACATCGCTAATTTTCTCATATGACCATACATATCAATAAAATAGTGATTGACAAGGATAGTTTCTAGTGAAGGAGAATAACAAAGAAAAATTACAAGCAAATGAAAGGTTTAAAAAATTAGAGACTAAAATTTTGTTAGTGACAATCTCAAATATTAAAATGTTTGACAAGTGACAATCTAAAAAAAAATTGGTGACATATAAATATTTTGTTTATTATCCATTCATAATATCTTACTTTAGGAAATAAAATGTTTAACAAAAAAAATGTAATATTTTTTAAATCTTAAAAACTAAAATATATTTTATTTATCATCTCATATATCAAAATAATGGTTTAATAAAAAAAGTAGTAAGACAAATAATACTTTAAATAAAGATAGAGAGAATTACAACAAATTATAAAAATTTGTTGTAAGAATAGTATAATTTTAATAATTTGGTTTATATATTATTATTATTTTATAAAATAGTGAATAATTAATGTTTTTTTTTTACAATTTTATTCTTAATAATGTGTTTGTTTGATAAGAGATAAAAGTGAGATAATTAGTATATAGTTTTTCTGTAATATATTTTACGACACGTGAAAACAATTTAATAAATAATATTTTTTTTAAAATTATAACCTTTAATATAATCAATATATTACATTTTATCATATATTATGATTTTAATAAAAAATATTATATATAAATTTTTATTGTATACTCATAAACACATTTAAAAATCAATTAATATAATAGATGAAAGATATAATAAGAAATTAAATAAAAAATTTCTATAAAATTTAAAGTATCAATCTTTTCTAAATTTTTATGCAAATGTTTAAACTTAAAAAGAATAACTAAAAAATATTAAATTGACAGCGCTTAAATGTTTATGAAGAATAATGTACAAGCAGATTCGATCTGCAGTAGACGTCTCATCTCTTTTGTGTGTTCTATTTTTATGATGCTGGAAGTAAAAAAGATATTCCCTTTTCTTTAAGCTGCTACAATTTTAAAAAATATTTTTATTTCTCATTTTATAGTTAAAAAATATTTATTAATTTTTTTACTATACTGTCACCCTTTACAATTAACTAGATAGAAGAAGTTAAGTAATTAAAAAAGGGTAAATTTTTAAAATCGATAATAATTTTTATATAAACTATAACATTAATTAGTTTTCTCAAATTATGTAAAATAATTTTAAATGACCGATAAAAACAAATTAAAAGAGTATAAATAAATTACAACTTTTTTATTGCATACTCAATAACATATAATAAAAATTTATGTATAAATAATTTTTATTAAAAATTATAAAATATTACATACTTTAATATATTGATAATATTAATTATTAATTTTTAATAAAAATATATTATTTTTTCTATGTATTTCAAAAAATTAACAACAAAATACAAGTATGTGTGCATATTTGGTTTTAGTAAGGTTTTTTGGCACTGTTTTTAAATTTTGATATTAAATTCAAATTATATAAATTTATTTTAATTTAAGCTCGTGTTAATAGTAATAATTAAATTATAAAATGACAACAAAGATAATAATTATAATCGACGATAATAATAATAAAAATTTATTCAGGTCTAGCTCTGAGGGTAGGCTGAGACTGCGATCGCCAAGGGTCCAGACCTAAAAGGGGCCCAAAATAAAAATTATAATACTTACTTGTAATTTGCAGTTAAAAAAATAAAAAAAAAATAAAGAAGACTTTTCAATTTCTCACACAATCACACTTTGCTTGCTAAAAACGTAATTACTTCTTCGACTTCTCCAGACCTTTTAACAGTGTGTGTGCAATTCTGTATTTTATCATAATAAAAAAGACAGAACCCACCATTGTTGAAGGTAGTTCTTTCCTCCTCACTTTTCTTTCTTTTTTCTTTCTTCCTCCCTATTCCTCAATCCTTATTCGGCAAATGTTAAAAAAACTGTTCACCTAAAAAATTGATTTTGTTATTTATTATGTACAGATAACCCACTTACCCACATTTGTTCCAAAGACATCTTTGCTTTTCTTTTTAGTGGGAAAAGTAAGGGAGCTAAAAGAGCTATTCTGCAATTCAAACCCAGTTAGGCGTTTTGCGTTTGGAAGGTGATTAATTCGCTATTTATATAAATGCTTTAGTAGGAATATTTATATTATGAATAAGGAGCGCCATTTTTATTTTTCTTTTGGTTTATTAATTATGTTCAATCTCCTAACTCTTGTTACACCTGTGTTTTATTGCAGAATTTGTGCTGGTTGCAATACCATGATTAAATGTGTAATATTTGTGAGTTTCCTGGAGCTGTTTGACATCCAAAACTAGCGACTGCTGTAATTAGGAATAATCATCACATTAATTAGGAGATTTGATTTACTATAATCCTTTTCATTGTGGTTTTCAGGTTATGCCTTTATGAAATATAATATATTATATATTATATATAGCATGTTGCATACGAATTATAACTATAGTCTGCAAGTCTACAATATGTTGTTATGTCTTTGATTATCATCTTATTCCCTAATTGATTATCATAATTATATTTTCAGATTCCTAGGGACTGGATTATGCTTGTGGAATTTGCATATGTGAAAGCAAACATTTAAGTTGAATTCTTCTATCAGGTGCTATTGTTCTTTTTTCCTTGTTTTATGATTGTATTGTCTTATTTATCTTTTATATGCAATGTTACCTAAAAAGCATTTATCTGGAAGTGAAAAAAGAAAAAAAAGAAAACGTGCTGAAGAGTTAAAAAAATTATTTGAATGGATTTTTTTTTGTAATTTTATTAAAAAAAATTCTATTTATTTAAAAAACATATTATTTTAATAGAATTATGCTTTTATTTTGTTGTATTATGTCATATAATTTTTTTTGAAAAAGCCCCAATTTAATATTTTGCCTAGAGTTCAAAAAAAGTCAGGAACGGGCTTGAATTTATTGTTATTATATTAATAATTATTACGATGGTGATAATAATTATCATATTGATATTATGTGATTAGTGATATCGGTGATTAATATATACTAAATGTATATATTTTAAGAGAGATGAGAGAGTTAATTATTTTAAAATAAAAAAAAATTAATTCATCTTTATATTAATTAAAATTGTTTTAAAGTTTATATTTAAAATTCAAAACGCTTTTAATAGTCCTGAAGAGGCCCTAAATTGTTACAATATTAGATTTTTTAACATTTAATATTAAATTATTCATTAATCTTGTGCAATAAATTAACCATTCTAAAATGTAAGCTTCCCCAATCTAAGCCCACACTGAGTTGGGATGTAGTGGTGACATATCTTGGGCTTCCTCAAAATGATGGATCACCCAACGATGGTTCAATTCTTTGTGTTAATCCAATTTTGTACTAAATTTTTTAATTATTAAATATCCTGCGTGTAAATTTTAGATCAATTTAAAAATTTTAATTTTATTTACATACATGAAAATTAATATATAATTTCATAATATATAAAATAAGAATTATCATTTTTTACAAGATTTACTATAAATAACAAGGTAATGAAAAGTTATAATCCACCTATTTAATTAATAAAATTCATATTTTATATAACATTATCAATAATATAACTTATACTGATTTTTTTTTATCCTTTTATAATTAATTATTTATTAAATGTTATGGCTTCAATATATGAGAAGAGTCTAACATAAAAACCTAGTTTATTAGGTGAAAGAGTTTTATGACACGAGCACTGTATTAAATATATTTTTTTTAACTTAATGTAAGACTCATCACATTAAATTTGCTAAATAAAATCATTTAGTATAAAAAAAAATTAAAAAAATCCATAAGAAACCTTTTTTATTATCCTAACATGATTCGAGCCTTACTCAAAATTAACCCCACCAAAATATTATTGGTGTACATGAAGCGTGTGTTTTAGATTAAAAGAAAAAAAAGCTAATAATATACTTTTTATTGTTGTCTAAAATTTATTAAAAAATAAAAAATATAAAAAAATATTATTTTAAAGTATAAAAAAATTACATAATTTTTAATAAATTTTAACTAATAATAAAGAGTGTAGTATGGATATAAATTTGAAAGGCCAAAAACTCTTGTGCTCAAGTTTAAATGTATTAATATAATTTAAAATTTGTTTAGTAATTTAATGATATAATTGATTTTGCTTTAAAATTTACGTGAGTTATTATAATAAATTATAACTTTTACATTGAGTTTATAAATTTATGTTTAATTTTATTATAAAATTAATTTTAAGTAAAAAACTTTAAACATAAATTACACCATATTTACTTTAAAATCCAATTAATTTTAAAGTCAAAGTTACAAATGTTAATGAACGGACACGCTCCATTTAGAGTTGATAAACGCGCATTAACGTCCTCTCTAAGGCATGCAAGAGAAAACAGGGTGGACTCCATAGATAACGAATCACAACAAAATGAATTGTTGACTCAAAAACCATGATCCACGCAATCGTTCTAAAAATAGAACATAAACATCTCAGTTTAAAGCCAGATCAAGAACTGAAATACGGCATATTTTGATTATTGTGTTAATATATACAATTAATTTGAATTGATTAATTTTATCATTAAACTCACAAGGGAGCAGAAATAATAAAGTATAATTTTTATATCAAGTTAAAAAATTATATTCAGATTTACAACAAATATATTTTTAAAAACAGACACACTTATAATTTCTTCAACTTGTCGTTGATACATCTGATAAAGCTAGCTAATACCATACCATGCTGCATGCACTCTTGAAAAGCATTATTTTCTTACTGGGATACTCATGATATCGTTCTTATATAATTTAGACATTACAATACATAGAAAATATGTAACAGATGAAGTTACTAACAAGTTGGGAAGGGAACCCCACAAGAGCTAGCGACCCTTCTGGCACCAGGAGAGTTCACATACTGCCTTAGACTTGGATTTTTGAGGTAACCACAGAGGCATGGCCTTTGCTCCCTCACCTTTTGGCAACATGTACTTGATGGTGGAGATGATGATGTTATTGCTCCAAGACATGGACTCAACTCCACAGGACTACATGTCACACCCTCTACCTTGGGACTCAACTCCACTGCTACAAAAACCAGTGCCACCAACACTACTATTGCAAACACCTTCTTCATCTCTACACCTCACTTGCATTTCCTATCTTCTCTAACTAGCTTAGTCTTATATATATACAGCAATCGTCTTAACGTGGATGGTGGTGAGTGACTGGTCCATGTTGTTTGTGGACTACAACGCAAGTCTGCATGGTCCCACTTGCATTTATTTGGATTTGACAATGAATTGATGACAACTCTTTCTGTGTTCACACACTTGAACGTTGCTGTGCACCAATACCAAGTCATTCTTTCTTGTTATAGAGAACCCGTGAAGAAGGAGGAAAATCTTAAATTTACGATTATTTGGTGTTCGTGTGAGTTAACTTGTCTAGCTGGGAAAGCTTTCTAACTCACCTTCTTGTTCCAATTTACAAGTCTTGGTTTCTTGTTGGACACCCGATGGTACTTGAAATGATGATAAACTAACTTAAACGGAATTCTGAAATGAAAATTAACATTTGTGCGGAGTTGTGGAAACAACTTAGGCCTAAATTAAATTGAATTTATTTGTTTAATTATTGGACTTGAGTGTTTTTTTTTTTTTTTTTTTTTTTTGAGAAACGGGTTGAAAATTAACGAATTTGTGGAGAAATTAAAGTGTTTAAAAAATTAGGGGAAAAAGTAAATCAATAGAATAAATAATCACATGTTAAATAAATAATTAATTTGCAGTTTTGAGCTTTTGCCTGTATTTATCAGAACTAATTTAGCTTTTCTTACAGATAAATAAGTTTATTTTACTGAACAATTTGATCCTAACCCCATTTTTTCTTGTTCTGAACAATTTAGTAATTTGCCATTTTGGTGTGAACACAACAAAAAAATGTGGTGAAAGTATAAAACTTTTCATTAGGAATTAACTATGGGACTAGACCCATTGCTCTCTCTTTAGAAATTTGAACTCATCACTCATGTATTTTCTCAAGATCAATGGCAGTAGATGGCAAATGAGACTTAATTCACCTATTAAAGGAACGTGAAAATCCAATGTAATAAAGATAGGTAATTTCTTCAAATGATAAATAAATTTTAAAAATTAGGCAAAAATTTTCAAGGTAATTCTACATAAAGATAAATAAATTACTTAATAGCTAGGAAACTAAATTCTACTAGTTGTCACCTTTACTAAATACAATGTATATGGGTTATATGGAAAAAATGGAACATTTGAATTCTTGTTATTTTCCGGGAAACCCATCACCCATGTACATACTGGTTGAAATATTTGCACATAGCTAGCTAACTTTAGGTTGTTATGGGGTCAATTTAGGAAGGATTGGATGACAAGACATTAATGGAATGGAACTAGTTGCATGCCTGTAGCTCATCCTTATCAGAATCAAGTTTATGTTGTACTCTCTAAACTACCGCATGTGGTAATGGCAAATAAAGCATCCACCCTTTTGGTATGATACCTCAATATAATGGTTGGTGACGCATACAAGGTCCAATAAGTCTCAAGTCTAATAACGTTCACACTGCCGGATTAGCAAAACAAGCTTGACATACTAGCATGGGTTAATGAGATGGAACTGAAATAAAAATGAGAAAAGACAAAAAAAATGGTTGAGTTATTCGAGTTTTAGTAAATTTAAAAACCTTTTAAACTAAGACTGGTGTTTTGACAAATTTGAAAAGCACTTTAGTTTGATTGAAATCTCTAACAACTAGCCAAATAATCTGATTAAATAAAAGATAAGATGTAGAGAAAGAATACAAGTATTTTAAGATAAGAGACGCAGAAAGAATATAAGTATTTTTATATTAAGTGTATATTTAAAAGCATGTTAAAAAAAATTATAAACATGAATTTATGCAAAAGTTACAAGTTATAACTAATATCATTAAAATAAACATAAATTAATCTGAATTCAAACACGCTATAAATCACCTAAAATGACAGGTTACAGGATTGCAAATAAATATTTTTTGGCACAACCTTTTTAAGCTAAAGTAACATTACATGAAGTAAATATAATAACTTTTTACGCCTCCAACAAGTTTCTCAAGAGTTTTTAACGCTAGTAGATTCAAGGAGAGACTGCAATTGACATTTTCACAAGGTAGATGTATTATTAAGCATTATAAACATAGTTGTAATAGATGTGTTTGGTGTTTAGTGTTTAAATATAAAGAATGTCTCTATTGATCAATATACAATTTTTTTAATGGATTGTTTCTTTCAATAATAAAGAAGTGTCTACTAATCAATCTATGGATTATACACATTGGGTTTTATTTTATTTTTGTTAGAACACATTTGATGTTATAATTCCTGTTCCAGTAAACTGGATTTTTTTTATAGATAACATGTTCCACAATACTGTACTTGTGTTTGATCCTAATTTTAGATCTCAAACCATGTTGCAGATTAATTCAATCCATAGTTCGTATAAAAGAGCATTTCTTCCCACTTTGTTGTAGGACTCTTAGGCTCAAGGTTAGATGAAAGTAATATTTTTATGCTGTGTTAAAACTCCGTTACTTTGCTTTGGAAATTGGGGAACTTGGTTTCCATTACCTCCCTAACAGGCTCTTAATCACCTTACACAGGTAATTATGAATCTAAAACTCTTACAAGCAACATTTGATGTAATGACAAAAACATGAATACTAATATACATAAATGTGTATTAAATGAGTAGTAAAAATCATACATAAATAATCAAAATTAATTTTACTTCAAAAATAATCTTAACCATAAAATAATCTTAAACATCCATTTGAGAATAAACTCAAGATTAATTCCTTGGCTCTCACATTCTAGCCTAAATGTTGTTATTTGTGCATGCTGCGTGGATGTATGGTTCCTGGAAATTCAAAGGAACATATCAGAATATGATTTAAACACAGGTATCACCTTGGTTAATCAGAAAATACCAAAATTTAGTGTCATTGTCATGTCATGTCATGCATCCCCTAGTCACCTATTTTACTAAACTACACAGTAAAAACTCCAGTTAATATATGGAGGAAAAAACAATCACATATACAGAAGTAATTGGCAAGTAGAGCTGACCAGGTTGGTTCCAGAAGCTAGCATGCTCAAAATCACTCCAATACACCTTAATGCTTTAGTTATGGGCTTGATCTGTATTTTGGTTTCAGCTCAGTAGCTACAGCTATAGACTGACCATGTCCGGTATAACTGAAACTTTTCATTTCACATAAACTGTCAGTCATAGTGCTACTGATCCAAAAAGAACTAATATCATGAAGTTGAGCATCTTCTAACCTGAAAGCCTCAATTTTCATTATCTGATAGAACAAGTGTGCTGGTAAGCTAGAATCCTAATCAAATTTCATTTTCTTCATTTTCTTTTTCAATGCCTCATCAAAGTTGCTGCTTGACAGTGAAAGGACCTGGTTCAGCAGTAACTTCACTCCAGATTTTTTCATATGAGCAAATCTTGGTTTAATCCTTTCCTCTAAATTGTATCCGAAATATTGGGGGAATTTAACAAGCTCAGAATTTGGGTAATCTGTGGTCATAAAGAAATCCCATTTTGGAACCAAATTTTCAGTTAAGCTGAAGGTATACAAGGCTCCATATCTTGAAATCATGGTACCAATTTCTTCCAAAGTGTATCCCCTATCCAAGAAAAATTCTGTTACCGGCTTTAGATTGGCCTCAATGCTAAGACCAAAATTCTGTGGACACCTGAATAGAAGAATGCCAACATCAACTCCCAAAGAACGAAAGTACATAGCCGTGGGTCGGAGATTGTCTTCTACACTGTAACTAACAATATTGGGGCAACGAGTTAAAATCTTACCTATGCTCTCTTCTGAGAGGCCCAATTCACAGAGAAAATCTACACTTTCCCACACCTTCTGCTTGCTATAAGTTAGCAGGGCCGGGAAGCGATAGATCACCTTTGGCCATTGTTCCTTGTCAACACCCAAAGATTCTAAGAACTTCATGGTGGGCTTAAGATTTTCAGATAGACTAATGCCACATAGTTGAGGCCTTTTAGTAAGGATAGTTGGAATGTTCTCTTTTGGCACTCCAAGTTCAAGAAAAAACTCAACCACTGGCTTAATTTTACCCTCCAAACTATAGTAGGCAAAAGATGGGAATCTTCTTATGATACTCCTAATCTGCTCAATATCCATACCAAGTTCCATGAGATACACAAGATGAGGGCGAAGATTGCCAGCATGTGTGTCCAACTCACTCACTCGAGACATAGCTTTAAGCTTCTTAGAGTCTACTACTGGACTAGGAGAAGGAATTGGCACAGCTGATTTATCCTTAACAGGTGGATTTGGATAACTTTCCACAACATTCATTAGAATGTCTCCATGCTCTTTGAAAAGGGATTCGAGATATGCGATAAGAGCATCTCTTATCTCTAGAGTTGTAAGCTCCCTACCTGTTTATGTCAATGAGACCATGATTAGCAAGATCCAATGTGAAAGAAAGCTATGAAAGAACATTAATTAATTTGTGGCAACAGAACCTGCAAGGTACCAAGATTTGTGCTTAGAGTGAAGCTTTGAGACAAGGTGATCAATAAAAAGATCAGACTTGTTGATCGTTCTAGCTGCAACCGCATTGCTCAAACCTTGTTTCTTCAAAAACAGTGTCAATACAGCTTTGGCTTCTTCCTTTTCTGCTGCTAACAGAGTGGGGGATATCACTTTTAAGTTCAATGGTCCATCTATGCCTGAGTATAAACCACCATGAAAGGTCTATGCTTATTAGAATAGTACATAAACCTCATGCCAATTGCAACATCTAAAAAACGTAAAGATTTGAAACGAAAATTCTTACCAGATTTTGCCTGGCACAAGAAGACCTTTGCACGAAAAGGAACTTGAGTCCTGATGTAACATATTCATGAGGGAAAACAAATGTTCAAGTTTTGTACAATATCAAAAAAAAGAAAAATTGAAAAAAAAATGGACAAAATTTATATATTATAAGCAAGCACTGCTCTCCAATCAAAATGGGTATCTCATTTCTGTAATTGCCATTGATTTTAGTTATCAATATGAAATAGTGACTGTGCTTGATGAGGAAACGAACTAGAGATAGATACTGTGAATGCAAGGAAATTGTACCTTGTGGCAGTGAAAGAGTAAAATCTTGAGCAAGGGAAACGCTGAATTGAGGAAAAGGTGTTCATATTTGTCCCAAGACTGAATTGAGTCAGCAAGAAATGAAATGAAATGGTTTGTTCAATGATATCACTGTGCTTTGGAGCTTTGCAAGTGTTTGGTGGACAACAGACAGAGTCACATGCAGATAAGGTTCGTACTATGATGTCAGTACATTCAAGGTCCAATGCATCCAAGTAACTTTTTCCCCTTCTTTTCTTATGTGGTCCATAAATAAAAGGCTAACTAGCTGAAAGCCCATATAGGATTCAAAAGTTAGCCCAACTCTCACTCATTCAACTGGTCAATCAACTTTATTAGCATATATAGGCCCAAAGAGATAAAGATACTGTGTATGAGGCCTTTTTGTTTTTGGTCAACTATAGGTATGATTTGGACCAAAAAGAGTGTATGACCTAAATCAATAATTTGTTTAAAATTAAAAAGAGTGAATTTCTTTCATATTCATTTTCGCCGTACCATTCGCAAATACACATCATTTTCAAAATTAGTTCTTTCAACTTTAACTTCATCAACATCCACTTAACTACAATCTAAACCTAACCTTAAGTTCACCTTACTGTACTAGTTGTAATGTTCCGTTCTTGACCCTGAAGCTGTTGGTTTGATGCTGAATACAAGTTACGTATGAAATTCTACAAGAAATTAAAGGTTATGTTATCGTATTTCATTTTGAAAATTGGATGTTAATGTCTTGTGAGAAAGCTTTTGTGGCTAAGTTGTGTAGAATTGAAAATTGATAAAAAAGAAAAATTGTTTCTATATATCTCGTACCTTTTGTCAAACAATACTATCTATTTATAGGATGAAAGGTTTAAATTCTATTAATAGTCATAAATTACAATCAAAACTCATTATAGCCATTTACTAACTCTTGAACTTATATTTAAAAAAAAAAACTGTTGAATTAAAACCATTAAAATTGACATTTAAGTTTATTCAACAAAACTCTTCCGTAAACTTAAATGCTTATGTCATCTTTCATACTGATCAATTTCTTGTAGTTGTTGAAAAGTACTATCGGCAGCAGTTTCATGAAAATATTTGCAACTTAATCTCAACTTGCCACGTGCACTAATTCCACATTTCTTTCATTCACATGATTTCGGATGAAATGAAAGCGAATGTCAATGTGTTTACTTCTCTTATGATTCACTGGGTTCTTTGCCAATTTAATTATTGATTTATTGTCGACTCATATCACAGTCGCACCGATTTGTTGTTGCTCCAATTTGCCCAACAGATTTCTGAGCCATATTGCATGACATACACACCCAGATGCTGTCACATATTCAGCTTCACATGTTAAGAGCGTCACGATTGGTTGCTTCTTTGAAAGCTAAGTAAAAGTCGTGTTACTCATAAAGAACACATATCCCGATTTACTTTTCTAATCGTCTAAGTCTTTGCACTAGTCGTTGTCGAAGTACCCAATTAACTTGTAATCTTCTGCTTTCGAATAGAATAACCTGAGTGATACCGTTTCTTGGATATACCGTAGAATTCTCTTCAACGCCTTCCAATGTGAATAAACCGACTCCTCAATGAACCGACTTACAATGCCAACACTTAACGAAAGGTCCGGCGTAGTGCATGTGAGATAGCAAAGGCTTCCCACCAAACTTCGATATTTGTTCACGTTGACTCATTCTCTTCCATCGAATTTTGAGAGTTTTGCACCTAGTGCCATTGGTGTTGATACAAGATTGCAACAAGTCATAGTCAATTCCCTCCTTTTACGTGTATCCCTTTGCAACAAGTCACGCCTTGTACCGTTCTATCTCGCCTTGAGCATTCATCTTTTTCTTGAACACCCACTTCACACCAATGGGCTGACTTTCTTTCGGTAACTCTGCTAACTCCCATGTATTGTTGAGGTCAATTGCTCTAATCTCCTCATCCATGGCAGTTTGCCACTTCTTGTCTCACACCACCTCTTCAAAACTTATATTCTTAGAATCTGCCAAAAGACAAACAATGTGTACCTCATTTGTCGAATCATACAAATCTTGCAAACTTCGCATTTTGGGTTGTTGCGGTTCATCTCCATCACTGGTAGTTTCAGGATTTTTCAGTATGATTGTTGGTATAACGGTTGATGATTCTCCACCTTCATTAATAACCTCTGTTAACCTCCTTAACTTGTACATCACGACTCACCATGAACTCCTTGCTTATTGGGTCTAGTAGCTTGTATCCTTTTGTTTTCTTATCATACCCAATAAAAATATACCTTTTACTTTTGTTTTCGAGCTTTATTCTTTGCTGATTTGGCACATGTGCATAGGCCACACTACCAAATACTTTAAGATGAGAAATTGTTAGTTTTTGTTCGCTCCATGTCTCTTGTGGTGTTTGATTATCCAGCTTTGCATGTGGACACTGATTTTGCACATAGATAGCGCATTGCACAACTTCTGCCCAAAATTCCTTCACCATTTTCTTACTCTTGAGCATTGACCAAGTCATATCAAGAATGTAACACCTAAATTCAATTTTTTTCAAATAAATAAATTTTGTAAAAATAGGAATAATAAAAATTTTCATTCAAATGGTTCCTAAAGCATAGTTCAATAAAGTATTTCAAATAAGGATGAATTACAATTTGAATCAATAATTGTTACAGGACTTAAATAATACATCAAGTTTTCAAATAAATTCTTAAGTCCTATAGCAATTTCATCCATTCTTTCACTGAGCCCGGTACTGATCGTCTGTATCACCTGAAAAATAAATGTAAGGGTGAGTACTCTACACAATCTAACACACACAAGCATAGAGACTCACCGTGCACACTCCACATGTTTTCCAACATACTCTACTTAAGTATCATCAATCACAAACAACACTTTTCAAACATTCCATTTCAATTACAAACCGATGTGCTCATTGCACCAACAAATATTTCACATACACATGTGCGCTCACTATACGTAGCCACGCTCATTGTGGCACTGTGATAACAGTTTCACACCATGAATGGTCGCCGGTTAGCCCTCACCTCACGGATACAATGTGTGCGGTCACGAGCCCCTTGGCAAAGGTGTTAGTCAGAGGCCGAGTTAGGAGGAGAGTGTGTGGCTTATGGTGCATCCACACTGCTGTTGGTGTTACCACCACCTACTCTTCTCCAAAGTATTTTTACCGCTCCTATCTTCCATACTCCAATGTATCGCTGAACTATTCATAGCATCCAATATTTTCACAATCGCATTAACGTGTCATTCACACACATTTTCAACTACATCTTCAATTACATCACAACATTCATGTTTACACACAACATATATGCCCACTTTCATCCGTATCACACGTAATATCACATCCCATTGCAACCAAATTGTTACATCACACACATTATACTCAATATCCATCATAATCAAGTCAATTCCATTAAAATATACATCTTCATACATTTCAATCATCCACATTACAGTAGAGTCTCTCCTTACCTCGGAATGAAGACCTACACACAGAATCAACAAAGAAGGCACTCCCCACACGAATTTTGTCCTAAATACGTGGAAGAATCACATGAGGACCATGGGAAACTGAGAAAACAGAGAATGAGGATGAGAAACTAAAACCCTAACCATTAAAACTTACCTCCAAACGCCCCAAACGTGACTCCAACCTTCAATCTAGCTTCCAAATGGCCTTGGAGGCAATTTAATCGGTAAGAATAGGTTTTGAATTGAGAGAATCGAAAGGAAAATGAAGAGAGAAAAGTAGGAATGTGTTTCCCAAGCCTTAGACCCTTCAACTACCCCTTTGGTTGTGACACTTTCTCTACAACGAGATATTCTCGTTGCAGTAAGGTCTCCTTGCTGCAGTGACACCCTTTTTCGCTATAGCGAAAATCTTAAAGGAAACTATACTCTAGTTTTTACAGAATCTCACTATAACGAAATCCTCTCACTACAGCGAGACTGTATCCAGAAATGCACCCTCCACTGTTGCTCACTCGCTGTATTGAGGGAACTCTCACTACAGCAAGAACACAACAGTTTCATCCCTCTCTCTCAGTACCTTCTTGCTACAACGAGAACAACACAGTTTCATACTTTTTGTTCACGACACACTTAGCCTATTTTTCAATCTAGTCTAGTCATATTCAACAATTCCAGTTCAATCATAAACCAACACATATGCTTATACTCGTATTCACACACACACACACACACACATATATATATATCAAACACATGAAAATCAACATATACATTTTTATTAATATATCAAAATATCATTACAAAAATTAGGGACGTTACAAAGAACAGTCTGGTTCTTCCTCTCAGCCACACCGTTTTGTGGGGAGAGTAAGGTGCGGTTAGAAATTACCTTATACCTTGCACCTTACAATACTCTATGAAAGCCATCGAAATATACTCACCACCTCTATCTGATTGTACCAATTTGATGTATTTATCGATTGCCTTTTCCACCACTACTTTAAACTTTTTGAACATCTCGAATGCCTCGGATTTTTCTTTTAGAGAATAAACTCAAGTTTTTTCGTGAGAAATTATCAATAAAGGAAATGAAATATCTCTTACCGCTAAAAGATTCGGGGATGATTGGCCCACATATGTCGGTATGAATCAATTCGAGAGGTTCCTTAGCACAATATTCTGCCTTCTTTTGAACAAAGTTCTTGCATGCTTGTCGAGTACACATTCTTCACAAAAAAATTTCTTGTAGTCCATGTCCGGTAGCCCGTGCACCATGTTCTTCTTTGCCAACTTGTTTAGACCACCTTGATGTAAGTGACCAAAACGGAGATGCCATAGCAACGCCTTGTCTTCTACATTGACTCGCAAACATTTTTCTCAAATGTTTCTCAAATTTAGCTTATATATGCAATTTCTCCCAATTTCAACTTGAGCAACCAAATACCCGTGTTTATCTTTCACGTGTAATACCCGATCTTTCATAAGTACTGAACAACCTTTCTCCATGAGTTGCCCCATACTCAAAATGTTGCTCTTGAGATCTGGTACGTAATATACATCTTTGATTGACCCAATTAAGCCATCCTTTTGTAAATAACAAATCGTACCTTGGCCTTTGACTTCAACCTTCGACGCATCTCCAAACGACATATGTTCAGTTTCAAACTTTTGCATCTCTTTGAATAAGTGCTTGTGCTCACACATATGATTGCTTGCACTCGTGTCAAGGTACCACACCATGTTGTTGTTGGTGTTGACTTCGTTGTGTGCCATTAAGAGAAAAACTTCTTTTTCTTCCTCATGTTCCGTGACTAAATTGGTTGTCTCTTCCACCTTTTTCTCGACTCGACATTCTTTCGCAAAATGCTCCATCTTGCCACAATTGTAACACTTATTGGAGTTGCAATCCTTCGCATAGTGATTATATTTGCCACACTTGTGGCACTCAATGTTGGAATAATTCAACTGACTGCCTCTCCAACAACCAAGTCTTCTTCCATGCCAATTTTGCTGGTTTGAATGTTCTTTCTCCTTATAATATCCTTCTTGACTGCGACCTCTACCACCGTGACCATTTCCTTGATCTCCATGGCCACATCCTCTATCTCAAATGTTTTGAGAATAAAGTGCCTTTTCGTCTTTGATTGACGCCTTAGTTTGAAGTGCTTGCTCAAGCATCTCCTCCTTCTTCTGCTTCTTACGTTGTTCGTGCGCCTCGAGAGAACCGGTGAGCTCGTTGACCGTGAGCGTTGTTAGGTCCTTTGACTCTTTTATAGCACATATGACATTCTCGAAACTGTTGGTTAACGACCTCAAAATATTCTCCGCAACTTGTGCATTAGTTGAAGCGTCTCAGTTTCGGTTGAGTTGGTTCACCACGGTTTGAACACGCATGATGTAGTCAGAGACCCCTTCTGACTCCTTCATCTTCGTGCTTTCTAACTTGCCATGAAGAGTTTGAAAGTGGACTTGTTTAACCTGGTCGGCTCCTTTGTACACTTTCGCCAAAATGTCTCACGCTTCCTTTGAAGTTGTCGCATTCATAATCTTCTCGAAGCCCGACTCATTAACAGTTCGAAACAACATGTACAAAGTTGTCTTATCTTTCAATTGCATCTCATTCAACGCCTTGTGTTGAGCCGCCAAATATCCCGTGGTAGTTTTCGATTCCTCGAAACTTTCTTGGACTACCTCCCAACCATCTTGAGAGCTAAGAAAAACTTTCATTTAGATGTTCCAATTCTCATAATTTGCCTTTGTTAGTCGGGGCAACAACATATTATTAGTCACACTCACCATCAGCTCTTGATATCAAATTGTAGAATTGAAGATCGATAGAGATGAAAAAATATTTCTATATATCTCACACCTTTTGTCAAATAATACTATGATCTATTTATAGGCTGAAAGGCTTAAATTCTATTAATAGTCATAAACTACAATTAAAACCCATTATAGTCACTATATCAAAATAACTGTTGATTCTTGACCTAAACTTTTGACCTTATATTCTTAAAAAAATTGCTGAATTAAAATTATTAAAATTGACATTTGAGTTTATTCAATAAGTTAGCAGTACAGCAAAAAATTCGAAGTGCTTGTTGGTTTTATCCATTAAAAATCATTACTCGCATAATTACTAATGTTTCTTCAAATAAAGTTTGATTCTACGTCGCTTTTAATTTCATTTGAGTTGTTTGCATATCTATCATCAATGCGATTATATTCTCCTATGTGAATGTTAGTCAAGATTTGTCCCACATTGCTATGCATATGAAGTGGTGAGAAGAGCTAAAAGAAAGATGCGATGTTGATTTATTTCAACCCACCCCCAATATTATATCTTTTTAAAAAGGCTATAAGTTTGTTTTCATTAAATACATATAATTATATCTTATAATTCAAATAAATTTGATCATATAACGTTCTTTATAAAATTATAAACCTTAACTTGTATCTACAAAATATATAAGTTATAAAACATAATTAGGATGCATTGGAGGTGAACATCATATCTAAATTCATTTAGAATAGATTATTGATTATACATATATATAGTCTGCAGTTATAAGTGTGAAATTGCAGATAAGATTAGCTTTGTCTGCAGCTCTACCTGCTCAGAATTGTCTAGTAATTTATGTTAGCGCCTTTATTGTTTGTGCTTTTAACCGCAGAAATAGACTGTGTGAACAGAGACAGAAATATAGTCTGTTTTAATGCCTGCGTTAAAATTATAACATAACAATTTTATATATTTTGCATGTGTGTGTATGCATCATTGGAATTAATCCAATATATCTTTTTTATGACCTTATTCAATTAATTCTTTTTTTTTAATATGGTTTAACCTAGTTCACCTGTAACCAAAGAGCCTTATCAAATTAGTAAGCAGTTGAATTTTTAAAATTAAGAGGAGTATCAAGAATATATTTTGTAACACACCTTTATTGGTTAAAATTTACTTATCTTCTTAATGATTTTCTTATTAATCCTTCTAAATAATTACAAGGATATAAGGGAGTTTCTTTAGAAGATAAAAATAGAAAATCCTCCATCTACCATTTTTATTTCAACTAGTGCATTAAAAAGCAGTTATTCCTTTTCCGAAATATCTCTGTGCTTCTGCAGCTGCTTTAGGACCAATCTACATGCTGGATTCGTCTACTTGTCCCATCTAATGTTTTAAAATTCTAGGTTCTGTGCTCTGTAATAATGTAGAAAGAAAAGACTTAATTTGATTAAACCCCCTTAAATTGATTCACGTTTAGAGTATCAGCAATCAACTAAGTAATTGTTTAAATACAATTACTCTTTCACAGGCTGGTGTCCAATTAATTACCCAGCTTTATGAGCTAAAGGTATAGTCAAGGACATCGAAAAGGATTTTCCAATAAAGGTGGAAGAATCCGTATACATTTATTGTACCGACAAGGACCACGGTTGCTGCAACTTACAAAGAGACTATAATTATTTACAAAGTTCTTGGAATAACGAAAATTAATATTCGTAATGTGAAAGAGTAAGTTCCCTTATCATCACAGCAATTTTATAAAAGATTTTAAGACAATTATTGTAGACTTTATATATATTCAAAATTCCCAAGTATCAACTATTGTATAAGATGAGGACCCACTCCATATAATATGATATACTATATTTGCATAATAAATAAATGTAATTTTTCGTATAATTTTAAAAAAATAAAAAGAGAACAGAAAGAAAATATTCGATAAAATACTTGATATATATAACGAGGAGATATAGAAAGAAAAATAATGTTATAAAAAAAATATTGTATAAATAATATAAAACTCAATATTATTTACCAATGGTTTTGGTTTTTGTGCAATGACAGTATATACTGAGGTCTACTTGCAAGATATTGGCAAAGCTGTTGTATATAGTGCTATCCAATTTCTCCAAGTTGCTACTCTAAAGCCTTGATGTCACACCATCACCGCCCTCTAAAACATGATGCTCGATCAATCTTGAAATAAATGGTCTCATTCAAAACATAAATACTTAGAAGTTGCTTGTAAGCTCTCCTTTTCCAACTAAAATCGAACGAATATTAGTTTTGCTTTTGGTTAAAAGCATAGATCCAACACAAACTAGTTGATGCTAGTCATAAGGAGACTATCCTAATCATATGGGAAAGATAAGGATGCTACGTCATGACTCCAACAAGTCACAGTCCCTATATGCATAACATGCAAAAGTTAGCGGTGTACACAAAAGATAAAGGAAATGCATACTATATAAAGAAGAAATCTAGGTAAATAGGCACTTTTATATAATGTTGTAGCAGGAAACGACAAATTATATATATGAAGATGGCATAGAAACTATAATTTATATGGACACATCTAGCCATGTAGGATTCGATGACGTTGCTCAGGATTCAGAACATATATAGTACACCTACAATACTAGATCACAGTGGGCTTATTTGTAGGTACGTACAAGCAAAAAATTGCATGAATATAATGGTCCAGGGCTACTGAGTTGGTCACTTTTTTTTACAGTATAAATAAAAGAAAAACATTTTTGAGGGTCAAGATTTGTATAGAATTTTGTACTTGATACTTTCAGAAAAAAGTAAAGGGGATAATCTTGTTAACTTCAATGTATATTGATGAATGCACTGTGTTACTTGTTGAAGATACTGATTCTCGAATCTGGCTATTCTTATAGTTGGTCCCTCCTCTATTCTAGGGCTTTCTTCGTGATGTTGTGCCTATAAAATGAGCAAGAAGTGCCACTATGCTGCATGCATAACATAGCTAGCTCATCAATTTTCTCACCATTTCATTTATTTGGTTAGCATCATCTGATCAATTCAATGTCTTCATCGGGTAGTGCATGGACAGCTCAAGATAACAAAGCGTTTGAAAGAGCACTTGCTATTTATGACAAGGACACCCCTGAACGTTGGTGGAATATTGCTAGGGCTGTTGGTGGAAAAACCCCAGAAGAAGTGAAGGGGCACTATGATCTCCTTGTAGAGGACATCAAGCGTATTGAGTCAGGCCAAGTGCCCTTTCCCACTTACAGGAATCCCAAAGATGGCGCATGATATCTCTACTATTTCCCACACTCATATCCCAAACTAATCACCACAAAATACTAGCTACCCTTATATATCTCAATCTATATCCAAATGTTTTATATGTAACATTTATATTGATACTTTTTTTTATGCCAATAGTTATTTAAGGCAAAAAAAATTTGTGTATTAGAAAGTATATATCTTTGTATTTTATTACCTTGAAAAAATAATGTGGAAATGGGGTTCTGTAACAATAGAAATAGTGAATATGGTGGTTGTATTTATCAATATTTAGCTTAAAGTTAATTGCCGTCTACTGATATAAAGCATCCAATATCTAAATAATTAATATGAAGCAAGTGGTGCTAAATGTTATGCTATATATCTGTAGCACAGTGCATTAATTTTGTCTTATGAATCCAATTTCTTATGAGCAATTCAGTAAAGAAATCATGTATGCATATGTTTCTACCCGTCGTTTGCAATCGTGGATACTGTCTGAAGTTTATCATAACAGTACTACATTTTCACCTTTTTTTCGCATTAATTTTTTGGTGAGTTAAATTGATTACAAAAAAAATTAAAATATTATCCTAAAACAAGCGGCAGAAATTAAAATATTTTAATAACTTATAAAATGTTTTTTTTTTCTGAACATATTTTTATAATTATTTTATGCTGCCAGAATGACATGCCGAAAAAACAAAGTTACTTATACTTAAATGATAAACCTAGCAAATAAAACAAACATAAGAATATACTCACATTTTTTTTAACAAGAATGATGTTATTTTTGAAAAAATGGATAATTTTTTTAATAATTTAACGAAATAAAATAAAGTGATAGAATGAGTGGTGTGATGGAGAAAAATAAAAAATTATTAATATAAAAAATTAAAAATTTGGTTTATTTTATTGGTCAATTTTTTGTTAAAAATAAATTAATATAAATAATGATGCATTATACTAACAAAATTTAAATGAATTTTTAGCTTCTATAAATATTTTTAATTTATTTTTTGTTCTTTGAAGATTTTTATTAGGTTTACATTTATTATCTTTAAAAATAAATTATTTTAGTATCTACTATTAAATATTTTTTGTTAAATATTGTGTTAATTAACAATAATCAAACTCAAATCGTTGCATCTTAATTATTAGCTAAATATGTGTTTGGTCTGTTATAAATATATTAAAATTTAGTTTCAGTCTCTAGAGATATTTTTATTTGGTTTGGATTCCCTGTTCTTTTAAAAGTGGATAACTATAACCCTGCTATTAAGTAGATGCTACGTTGGTTAATTATAATTTAAATCATCAATGTAATTCATATTATAGTTACTGTTATATATATTCATCCTCTTAATTCTTTGTGACTTTATTGTAATTATTTAATTTAATATTAACAAAAGTAATTTAATATTAAGAATCAAAATTATTTATTTTTATAAAAATCTTTAATAATAAACGCATCTACTATATTTAAGTGCTAAAAATCTTTAATAATAAACGCATCTACTATGTGACTTATGGTAATCAAATAAGAAAAAAAAAAAAACTCAAATCAAACAAATTATAGAAACTGAAACCAAATTTTAAAATTTTTATAAAAACAAAAATTATATTTAAACAATGATTAAAATACAATCACTCGTAATTAACTTAACACTTAATAATAAAAATTAAAACCATTTATTTTTAAAAGATTTAAAAATCAAATTAACTGAAGTATTGATGAAAATTACATATTACATGCCAGCAACAAATTTTCATATTATGGTAATTTATTTCTAATCCATTAATAATAATTCTATAAACCTAATGATAATAATAATTTAATTGTGCTTAATCAGTGTAAAAAATATAATAAACTAAAAAATTGGGTTTGTAAATAAAATAGTAAATTATATTAGGAGAAAAGTTGAACAAAACTGCCAAAAAGAAAAGCCATTTTATCAAAATTTTAAACTCTTACACAAAAGAATCACTATAAAAAGGATTGAAATTTTCATTACAGAAAGAACAGGTGTATTTGGGATACAAGACTTGTTAAAAAAATTGGATGTAAGGCAGGAATGTTGCATCTTATTGGTTGTTAGTTTCGTCTGGGGATTTTCCCTTAGTCCGAAGTATCTCGCTGAAATGTCCAAGCATGATACGCCTGAATCTAGTGTCCTCTGCTGCTGGTTGTGATGTAACATTCCCCGGTGACACAACTCTTTCTGCTCGTCCTTCTGTGTTGTCTTTCTTGCCCAGCAAGCCACCCTCACCAAAGAAGTTACTGACTGATAGTGATGATGCGATCCCAAGATGAGAACTCATTGACTTACTTAAACCCCCAATGCTCGCCCCTGATCTTTCCTTCAAAATAATTTCAAGGGCTTCTTTGTGTGCTGGATCCAGTGCATCCACGTCTTTTAGAATGTTCTGTACTGCAGGCAAGAGGAAGTCCCGAACACTATTTGCAGGAAGATCTGTAACATAAGCATGGAATTAATAATACTTGCTAAATCAGGAATGCCATAATATTAGTATTCAAGGTTGATTTCTGAAGCATTGCTTGAAGAGTAATTTGGTATGCACGGTCAGGGTAGCACTTAATCTGCTAATATAATAAATATCACTGTTGATTATCATCTCATTCTCTTATTAATTAAAAATATATAATATGTTAATATATTATTAAGCATCAATGTAAAGGGGGTATTAATCTTGGGCACGGGACACCCCGTGTCTCTAACCATGGAAAAGAAAAAAAGCTTTCTTAGGTGTACGGTTGATAGCAATTAAATTCTTACCCGAATAGCCAAGAAAAAAAATGGTAAAAGATTTCAAGGGGACCTCGCTAAGGCTGCATCCGTGTGATATTAATAATAGTATTGTTACCCCTTGACTTGATTACTAGAAAATTACCTTGAGAAGGGTGTGAAAAGACAAGGGTAATATTACATTAGGAGCATACCTGTAGCATCCAGAGCACGAATTGCCTCACAAAATACATTGGCTCTTTCTTGCCGACGCGTCAAATCACTTGAAGCAGTAGTAGTAACGGCTGTAAGTTGAGAAATCTTGGATAAAAGATGTACATCAAGGTTAAGAAACAAACGGCACAATTTAAGAAACCTAGAAAGCCAAAAGAAAATGCAAATGGCTAAGAAAATGAGTGATAACGTCAGGACACGCGACACGTTTCTAAACATTTTCCTTTCCACAAAAAAAAAAATGTTAATTAAGGATATAATCTCTGAGCTTTTCTGTTGTATGCGGTACTGCAACGACCAATGCATGAATGACGGCAATAGTAGCTTCATGGGATCCATCTTCAAGAAAAGCACTCATTTGAGCACGTATCTTGTCAACTATCTGCAGATATCATATTTGGTCAGGAGTTTGAAATGCGTAGCAGCATCAACTTTATATCAACAAGAACCAGGGATATATATAATACTAGCAACAGATACCATCTCATTTTTTAAGTGTTGAGCCACGGCACCAAATGCATCAATGCTGGCACACTTCACATTGACGTTTTGGTCAGATCCAAGAGTAACTAAGGCAGGCAAAACATGAGTTGAAGCAACCTTTGCGTCAATGTATGGCACCTATTATTGAAGACCTCTATGTCAGCTTTGGCATTCATATGAGATCTAACTAGAAGAAACAGAAAAAAGAAAGAAATAGTAAGCTTACAATAACTTTTATGAGCTGGGCAGCGCTTATTTTCGCATTAGAGCTAACAACCATTTCCCACAGTATATTGAATATCATACTATGGTTTTCTTCATATATGCTGCATCATAAAGAAAGCTAGTGACTCAAATTGCTAAAAATACTACTATCAATTTTAAAAATATAAGAAATAATATAGGTGCGATATACAAACCAAATGAAGCGAACAGCATTAATGATCTCAGTAGTATGCTTTGTAGACAGATTCTCTTTCGAATTGTCTTCCAGTAGCAGCTTTCTTAAATATTCTTCTAATTGTTTGCGTTTTCCTGGAGCACTCAAAATACCAGCCAAAAGAAGCGGTAGGACACACAATGTAGAGAGCTTCTCCGCAACAACAGATCTTGGTCTCAAACCTACAAGAAAACTGTCAAACATAAAGCAATCGTGTAAAAATTTCACAGACTAATTGAAGAACCGTTACCTTTAATTCTTGAATGAATGGCACTAGGAAAGAATGTCAAATTGGCATCATCCCCAACTGCTGTTAAAAATACAGGTAGCATGATGCATGTCATGTAGGAATCCCCAAACCTTTTAGAAACAGATAATAGAAACTGCAAGTACATAACTTTGATCAGAAATTACTGTCTCTTATGCTACACAACATACAAAAGAAAGTGAAAAAAACTGAAGGGATATACAAGTGACCTTGGAAATTCGGCTCCGTAAATTATCTTCTTTCCATGGTAACAAGCAAGCCAGTTGTATCAATTTGGGAAAGCACTCAACATGCATCCATTCAAATGCATCCCATTCAACATGTCCCCTAGCAAAAGTAGAAACCATTCAAGATCAGCAGCATTTTTTATTGTGCAGTAAAAAACAGTATGAGTTTCTGCTCATGCATGTCTACAACGCATAAACAAAGTGTCAAGCATTCAAAGCTAATGGGTTCTGGACACAAAACCTGACCTATTCATCCATTCACTTTCTCCTCTTTCCCTTATCTTCCAAACAGGAACTCATGGATGGTGTAACATTCAAGACCCAAAGGTCAATTGTATCAATTCTTTTACAGGTCCTAATTTTATTCTTTCAAAGTGAACATTTTGTGCCAACCTTACCTTGCATACAGTTCAAGCAATGTGGTAGAAAACACTTGGGTAGTTTCTACTGAGGATGAAAAGGGGCATGTCTCAATCGCTTTCTGGTACACCAAAGGAAGCAATTCCACTAGTATTCTCAAAAGATTATCTATATTCCAGCGCTCTCTTTCACCCAGTACATGTAGATGTGACTCTATACACCCTTCAATTACAGAAAGAGGTGGACAATGCTGCAATGCGGTGGACAAAATTCAACTCAGATATAATTGCCAAAAAGGATTAAGCTCTTAGTCACAAAGGACACAGTTAACATAAAGGAAAATAAAGACCTGAGCAGAGCTCAAAATATGAGAGAGTAAAACTTTCAGAACTTGGTCTAATTTGTTTCCCCACTTTATAACTGCAGGAATCAATTCCTTGAGAGTAGTTTCGACCACCACTCCTGAGGGATCACATATCAATTGGAACATTAACTCCTCCACCTAACAACAAATAAAACAAAGAATTGGAGCAACTCTTTATCTCTATTCCTTATTTTTTCTTTAAAACTCATCATATTCATATTATGTATGATAAGGGGAAAAGGCTCCGTTCCCTAGACTGTCCCGTCAACCTGTTGCAGAGCTTACATTTCAGCCAATTCTTTCAAGTCAGAAATCTTCTCCATGATTGCCTCGAAGCATATATAGTGAGGCTGACCTTGAAATATTTATCCATGTTTTGAAAAAGTGGAAGCAGCATAGCCAAATTATGAGCCGCAGCCTCACGAACAATAGTGGCAGAATCTTCTATTAGTTGCTGCACAATTGATAAGATAAGAGAATCGCGAATCTCAGGCCGGACAAATTCTGCAAGCTCTCCACATGATTGAGCAACGAGCAGTCTACGTTCCTCGTACATATGATTTATCTAAAATCCATATCACAAAAAGATTGAAAACCAGGTTCCTAGGGAGAATGGAAAATAGCAAGTTCAAAATTAAGGCCATAATATACTTGTTCCCAACATTGAGGAAGCAATTCTGTTTCTGTTCTCATCTCTCCAACATTCTTTGCAAGGCTGACACACGCCTGAAATGATAAAAGTTGCATTGGAGACCAGAGTCCTTAAACAAACTTAAGAAACCAATATAACTTACATCCATTATTATTCGTCTCTGTTGTTCATCCGGACGCTTGATTAAGTTAAATAATGTATGGGTCAAAGAATCCCGAGTCCTGCTGTCCGGGTGGTGCTCAATTGCACACATCAATATAGGAAGCAGTTCCTGCAACCAAACAACACTAATGCAACATATGTTGAAGATTGCATAAGTGTAAATAAAATTAGAGTAGCAAACCTCACGATGGTTGATCAAGACATAAGGAACAATTTTAGGCAAAGCGTCTGCTACTATCTGAATGGTTCCTAATCCCTGTCAAAGCATAAGAATATATAAGAACCTAAAATAAAAATTTTATTGCCTCAATGGTTGTTCTTACTTTCAGTGTTTCCTTTCAAGGACGGGAAGATTTTTTCTCTCTATGTTTATATAAGCACTGCATTACTGGCAATAGAGACCATGACAGGTACGGCTAATGTATCATTTTTAAGACAAGAACAAGTTCTGACCATTCAATTTCACTAAAGTCAGAGAATGTTTAATGTGTATCCACTGTAAATGTGACATCTAAACAAGTTTTACCATATCATTAGAAGAATTTGACATGTTATCATAACCAAACTCTGACGAGTGCTGCAAAAATAATTGGATGATGACGTGAAAAAGTCAAAGCTAGACAATTAGAAACCAAACAAAAAGTAATGATATTTGAGGATTTCCCAAAGCAAAAGTAGAATGGACTTGCCATCTTCTCAGATATTGCTTCATAGTTTACATTGTCTGATTTTGGGTTTAACTTGCTATCCCTTTCTTGCTTGTCAATATTTTGTTCAGAGACATTTTCAATTTTTTCAAAAGCAGTGTTTCCAGTTGCAGGATTAAATAATGCATCCAGTGGATCTTCGTGTTTATCAGCATATTCGTCAAGAGTTTGTAAAACTGGGGATTGAGTATCTTCCTTGCCTATGACATCCAAGGCTGCATCAACAGGGTAAGAGATTGCACCTTGGTCCTCATGAATCTCAATCACTTTGTCTTCTATTTGCATAGTTTCATTTTCAGAACTAACAAAATTTCTAGATTCAGGAACTCCTCTATTCCTTCTCTTCAACCATTCAATCTCCATTTGCAATTTCTTAATTTCTTCCTTGTATTTATCTAAAGACTCAGGTTGAAAATTGTAGACATCACTAACAATCAGATTCTTTCCAGAACCAGATCCTCCAATATACAGTTTCAGCTTACTGATCTCAGCTCTGCTAGCATGGAGATCTTTTCCTTGATTCTCCAAGGACTGCTTTAGAACTTGCACCTAAAAGTTAATATTAGTATTCATAATAGAAATATGAGTATTGTTGAACAGCTTCTCATAGAAGTAAGTGGGAACTACCTGGTTTTCTTTGTGTTTAAGATCTTTCTGCAGAGCCTCCAAGGATTTAGTTAATGCTCCTATTTGACCATCTGCCAAATCTTTGTCCTTCAACAAGCTCTCCTTTTCATGATTCAGCCTCTGATTTTCCTTGAGCAATGTTTCATTTTCTAGAACTATGGCAATTTTTCCCTGCATATTTATACATGTATTGGTAAGACATTAAAATAGTAAACAACCAGTGGGGCCATTTATCAGCATTCTTTAGGTAGAACTACTAGTATTTAAAGAACAACTTGCATACAGCATGGATTAAATAATCACCTCAGCCCCCTCTGAAGTTGATGAACGAAAATGATAATAATATTGACGCAAGGCATCTGGTATTAATGAGTCCGAACTCTGCCTAACGTCCAAGTTCTGGTCTGTAACCTAAAGGAACAGCTATTGCAAATTAAGCATTACCAGCGTAACTAGTTATAATTACACTACAAAACTGCACCTCATAGAATACAGTTGCTACTTGTTACCTCTTCATAAAATGTCATTGCAGTAAGACGGTAACCAGCTATAAGCAAATATTCCTTCACAGCACAATTAAGATCGCGACGCTCGGTATCCTTTAGCGGACCCAAAGCAGAAGCGGTTAATGAAGCATTAGCATTATCATTGTTGTTATTGTTATTATTCTGATCTTGTTGCTGCGAAACTTCTCCAACGGACGGTGCAGCTGCATATATAGATAAAGATGAATCGAAATGTGGCATTGAAAATTTGGAATTATTAAAATTTGAATTAAAAAGAGAATGGATAGTGGACCGTGTTGTTGATTAGGGCGTTGAGTATTGGTTTGCAATTGAGATTTGAACGTGGAGATGTCTTCCTGAGCCAAACGCAGTTGGTAATCGGTGATGGCTAACTTGTGTTCGGCTTGGAGTTTGAGTTGAAGGAGAGTTTGAGGATCGGCAGTTGGGAGAGAGTTGAGGCGAGAGATTTGGTTGGGAGGGAAGCGAGAGGGATCGGAGAAGTATTGTTGAAGGCGAATGGCTTGGTCGTGACGACCATCGTCGAGAAGCTCGTGGAGAAGCTCAAATGCGGTCAGAATGTAGTTCTCTTCCAACAGAAAGTTCACAACGCAATTGCACAGCGATGAACGCTCCACCTCCATTCTTCCCTTCTGTTTCTTACCCCTTCCCACTTCATCTTCAACCCACCTCTTCCCCTTTTTTCATTGGAATTCCGCGCTTTTCGCTTCTCCCTCGCTGCGCCACTCAACCATTTTCATCCCTTTTTTCTTAAAAAAAAAAAAAAATCAATTATTTATTCACCTTTTTATTTCCGCTTTAAAGTATTTGATTTGTGGATTACACGTACCACAAGTTCAACAATTCATACAATCCTTTTACTTGAAGACAAAGTTTTCTGTTGCCATCCTATTCACAAGATTAAGATGGAATTGTAAGAACTTCCAAAAATCATGAGGTTACCACCTTGCATTGGACATTTGGACACAGTAGAGAACAAATATAATTTGTCTCGAGCGAGCTTGGCTCATTGCAGCCAAAACTAATAAACGCAAACGTTAGAATTTAGTAATTTCTCTAAACTATTTTAAATAATATCATAAATTAAAAAAACATGGTTGCCATATTTGCAATGAAGAAAACGAAGCAGACAAACAGTGAAAATGATAATTGAATTGTTTGGTCCAATCACGAATGGAATAAAGTATAAACTTGAGAACAACTGAACAAAATATTGAAGAAGAGAAATCTGAAAGCTGTTATAGTGGGACATGTTAAACATGAACCAGTCATGTGGACCTCCTTCACCCTGTTCCTGTTCTCAACCCTTTAGGCTTGTTACAATTCTCAACCACAAACTTTCTCTTATACCCTGTTTTGATTTCTGAACAACCTATCTCCAACACCAATCTCTCTCAGGTAAACTAAAAGCCGTTTGAACCCTTCATGCGGTTTTCCTATATCTAGTTAAGCTCCCTTCAAAGTGACTCTATTGTTTTAGAATAAACTAAAAGTGTACAGTTCTTATTATGTTAAGTTATATATTTATATATCTGAAGAATTAAACCTTAAGTTCTTTCATTTCCAGTGGTTTCCAGCAAGAAAAATTAGGATATATTTATTTATAAATATGGTTGGCTCGGAGAACACACCAAGAATTGGATTGGTTAAAGCCCCTGTTAACTTATTCGGCAACAAGATTGCAGACGTTAATAGTCATTCGCTGAAAAAAGATTTGTCAATGGTATGTGCCCTTTAACTTTCATCTACCTGCAGTTTATGCCATTTTTCCTACTAAATCTCTTTTGTATATTTTGCTAATTAAAGAATAAAAAATAGAAAGTTTTTTCATTTGTAACGATATTTTCAACAAAAATGTTGCTCAGAAGGACTCTTCAAAAGCAAAAGAACTCCACAGAGCAAGAAGGGAAATTGGCAGGTACGAAGAGAGCACCCTGGCAGCAGAATCTAAGAAAGCTGAAGCAGAAACTGAACTTTCTAATGCTTACAAGACAGTGAAAGATCTATTTTCTATGATTGGGGAATCTAGCTACAAAGCAAAAGCCCGAATGCATGATATAACATCACTGAAGAAGTTTGGGAAGGTAAGAAGGAATGATGATAATGAGTATTCAGAAGTGATGATAGAATTGGACTATGCTAAACGGGAATTGTTCGAACTTAAGCTTGATGTGGCTTCGGTTTTGGAAGAGAAACAGCGAGCTGAGAAGGAAATTGAAGCATCAAGATCAAGCATGCTGTCATGCACAAGAGTTGCACAAGAACTGAGGAAGGAGATTGAGGAAGCCAGTGAAGAACAAGTGGTAGTTGAATTGGCGAGGATGGACGCTTTGAAAGAACTGAGAGACACTAAAGCTCGGAGAGAAAAGGAAGCAAAGGAATTTTCATTCAAACTAGAAAGCACAAGGAAGAAGTTGGAGGAGGCCACTAGAGAGACAGATGAGTCAAAAGAGCTTGAAACGAAATTGGCTATGACAATGTATGATATTTATATGTTGAAGAATGAATTGCAGTTGGTTAAGAAAATGGAGAAACGAGTTGAAAGAAATGAGAGCATGGACCGTGTGGAAGATGTTACTGTGTTACAGACAATAAAAGAACAAATAGAAACAGCAAAGAAAGATTTAGCTTTGATTAGAGAGAAAGGTTTTCAGTTTATGGCCTCTATGGATGCCATAAGAAATGAGCTGAAGCATGTGAATACTAGCACGGTTAATTCAAAGAATGCGGAATCAAAAGCTAGTTCTAAAGTTCGAAGCCTGAGTTCCAAGCTTTTGAGAGCAAAATCTAAATTAGAAGCTCTATCTGCTGCTGAGGAAAAGGTCAAATCCATAGTCACTAATTTATCATACACTCTTGATAAGCTCAAGTCCGAAGCAGAAGCATCCAAAAAAGAAAACGAGCTTACAAATGAAGAGGTTAAAGCCACTAAAGAAGAGGTTAAAAAGGCTTTGTTAGAGATTGACACGAGTGAGGAAAGATTGCAAGGTAGCATGCTGGAGCTAGAAGCACTAAAGTCATCGGAAGTTTTAGCCTTGGAGAAGCTGAGAAGGCTTAGTGAGCATGCCATGAAAGAGAGAAGTTTAGCAACACAGCCCAGTTCCTTAATCACCATCTCAAAGTTTGAATATGAGTATTTAACTAATCATGCAGCTGGGGCAAAGGAAATTGCTGATAAAAAAGTAGAAGCTGCCAAGGCATGGGTTGAAGCTGTGAAGGCTAGTGAGAGGGAAACAGTGATGAAGACTAAGATAGCTGAGGGAAAATTGGAGGTTTATAGGAAAGAAAAGTTGGTTTCAAAGAGAGTTATTGGTAATGGTAATGAAGAGTTGGAGAATTGGGGAAGGAAACGGGAAAAGAATCCATCGAGGGAATTGAAGCGTGGAATGTCTCGAAAGAGCATAAAATCAGATGGTAAGATGACACCTTCAAGGGGATCAAAGTTTCAGAAGTCTGCTTCACCAGCACCTCGTCATCTCAGTCCTTTTCCTTTTGTTGTTAAGAAGAAAAAGAAGGTAATCCCAAATTTTACCAAGTTTTTTAGAGGGAAGAGAAACACTGCTTTTCTATGATGAAGTTGAGAAAGGAAAGTATTAGTTAGGAGTTGATGAATTGAAATGGCTGTTATAAAACATGCCTATCAGTAAATGCCATATAGCTAGTTACATTATAGGACTCATGTTCTCGCTGCCTCAAGCTTTGTCAATAGTTGTCTCCATGCCTGTGTTTTTTTCTTTATTTATTTATTTATTTTAACATAATCATAATGATGATGTCCAAATTTGACATAAAACATTATCTAAAGGTTATAAATACCTTTACTTGTTAGAGTTATCTGGGGTCCCATTAAAAATGATGGCATATAGGTTATTTTATTGATAAACATTCCTACCCAAGAGATGTATATATCATACGGTTTTTCTTATAGGTGATTATCATTGCACGTCTCTTTTTTGAGGTGTGAGAAATAAAATATGACAAAAATAGGTTAAAAAAAGATAATAAGTAATATGGTGTACAAAATTATAATTAAAGCATGCCGAAGAGTTAGCCAAATATTGTAATTAATATGTGGAAAGAACTCATACCAAAAACGTGCCTTTAAAAATTTAATCATCGTTGATGCAAAACTAAATTTAAAAATTACCTATCATATAACAAAATTATAACTCTTAAATTAACTAATACAATAAGTTAAATCAATTCAAGACATTAGCTGCTCCATTTAAAATTATATTGAAACAAATAACAAAATCTCGTGCCCATCGAGGAGCCCTTAATATATATCTTTTTTTATAATTATTATTTACTTAACTTTATATCCTTGATATGATTACGCAGCAATATTTTATCTTTGTTCTTAATTACGCAATGAACTTAATGGCAAAATTTAGGTAAGAATTATAATATAGTTTTACTATTAATTTTTAAATTATAATTCTATCTCAATAATTCCCGTTAACTTTAATCTGTAAATTATTAAAACAAAATTTTAGTTTTAAATATAAATAATCTTTAAATGTTTATAACATCACTTTAAAATTTTTTTTCCAAGTTTATTTTAAATGATAAAAATATACTTTCCTTGAAGCTGTATTCAGATTAGAGAAAATCTAGTTGCGAGAAAACCAAACGTATGAATAGAAATAGAAATAAAAATAATTATATTAATGTTAAATAATTAAATTTTAAAAATTTGTTGAAAAGTATTTATTACTCTTACGTTTTAATTATTTTGTAACGAAAATTTTTAGTTAAAATCTAAGTCGGTGTTGACAGAAACGGAATAAGAAAAACAGAGAAAGAAAAGATAAGTTAAAATCTACGAATCTTTTCTTTTCGATTTTTGTTCCTAACATTCCTCATCGGTTTAATATTGGATAAAGCCATGAGCACGTGTGAGGTCCTCACGACACGAGTCAAAAACAAAGTAGAATGTGTATGGTTCCATTTATTTTAGTGAAACAATTTTTATCAGCTAAGAGCAGTTTTTTAAAAAACAATTAACTATAATAATCTTGTTCATAATTATTTTAAAATAAACGAGTAAATTTTTATAATTAATCATATCTAAGAAACCCATTTCCAATATATATTTATTACATAATTTTAATGTCTTAAAAACTAAATCGAACTATTTTACACTTTTAATTCAACCCCTTTTAATTCAATCAGTTTTTCAAACACTACATGAGTAAATATTTAATATTTCTTCCGAATCTATTTATAAAATAAAAAATTAAATCATCAAAACAAAAAATAATTAAATTTATAAATTTTATTTTAAAAATATTAATAATATTTAGTGTAATTAATGTGGTCATTGTTTCGCAAATATATATTTTATAATAAAAATTATTAAAAAATTTAATAATTAATATTTATAATTAAGATAAAATTACTTCATTTTATTTCTTATAAAAAAAATTAGAAGAAGCATTTAATTATAAAATATAATTACATAAATATTTAAATAACCTTATAATTCTTTATTGAAACGAAACCTAAAAAGACCTTGTCATCTAAAAAATATCATAATGGACAAGCCAAACAAAATTTGCTAATAAAAGGTGTTGAATATTTTTAAAACTTAAATATATTTTTAATCCACAAGAATTATTAATTTTAGTTTTTCTAAATAATTTTAATTTTAATTTTTAATTTTTGAATAAATTTTTGTTTGTAAGTCCTAATATTGATATAGTTAATTAAACACGTGACAATATTTTAATGAATCAAATTAATATTAAGAATTAAAAAATTATAAAAAATGCAAGGACAAAAATAAATATAAAAGTTATTTAAAAAAATGGCTAAAATTGAAGACAAAATATATTGAAGCTAATTTTAAAATACTTCCAAAAGTAGCATAATATGAAAATTTTCATTCACGGTCTTCATCTAATTTTGGTAAACTTGGACAGGCTGGGCTTCTTAAAAAGGGAAAACTTAACTTCTCGTGAGGTAAAACAGATCTTAGTACCCAATCGACAAGTAATGCCTTGCTCTACAACCATCTTATGATATGAAACAGATCTTAGAAGCTAAAACAGACCAAAAGATCTATTATCAATATTAACAAGTGAGAGTGCCTTACACACGAATTCCACTAGCAAGCATTTGAAACCACACAAAACTATACACTACAATACATGTGTATATCCATCATATTGGCATAGCGTAGCAAACAAGGACAAAGATTAACATATTGGTGTTCTCATACTACATAACAAAACTAAATGTCTTATGAAACTGAAAGCTTGCATTATGGATGGTTTACATTACATATTTAGAAGGCAATGGGGGAGGCGGGGGCTGAGATTTGTATATCTGAAGACGAGCAAGATCATTGTCAAGTTCATTTGAATCATTTCCATGCTGGCCGTGGGGGGATACATTCTGAGATTGAGGTTGAGATTGAGATTGAGAATGATTCATTGGAATTGGATAAAAAGAAAGTTGTGGTTGGAGACTTGCATATGTTGAGAGTAGAGTGGAAGGCAAGAGGTATAGAGAGTGATAAAGCAAAGGAGGTGGCGGCAGTAAGTGAACTTCAGGAACAGAGTCTCGGTAACATATGTTGAGAGGAGTGGGGAAGAGGAAGAGTCTGATGCGGCGGTGATGGTGGTGGCGGTGGTGGTGGTGGATGAGGGAGTGGAAGTCTTGGTCGGAGGAGAGTGGGGCGAGGGAGTGAAGGTCGAGGTGGGGAAGTTGGTACTTGAGAGTGAAGGGAAAGGAGAGGGAGAGAGCGGAAGAGAGGTGAGAAAGGAGGGAAGAGAGGGTCGTCACGCTTCGGAGGTCGATTGAAACGATGCGGTTGTCTCCGCCCGCGTAGAACAGAGTGTTCGTGCGGGGACGCCTCGTTATTTCCCCGCCGTAGCTGCACATAAGACGGAGCTTCGTGGCGGTGGCGGTGGCGGTGGGTGGCGGTGCCTCCATTGCTGTTAAGGTTTGGGATTGGTAACCGTTTAGTTAACGTTATCAGGAGAGCGGGGCGGTGTTGCTACTTGCAACTTGCAACTTGCAACATGGTATGGCCTGTCATGAGTCATACGTAACTGTTCTTTTCATTCCGATTTATACTTTTCAAAGTATGTGGCGTCATTCAAAATATGTACATACTTTCTTGCATCTGGTATTAGTATTTTTATTTATTTTTATTGCGATACATATTATAATATAAAATTTATAGTTAAAATTAATATGAACATGTATTTTAATAATTTAAATTAATTTTACTTAACTTAAAAGTAAATAATCCTTAAAATAAGATGAGGTGAATCTAAGAATTAAAAGGAAAAATGTTCTTAAGACGTAAGGTGGGCCTACAGGAAGTGAGCCCAAATGATGTGAAGAAGAGGGCAGCAAAGGTGTTTTGTTTGAATAGAAGAAGGAGTATCTGATATTGGAATAAAGTTGGGAAAAAGAAAGAAGGAATCTTAGGGGACAGATGTGAGGACAACGGAGAAAGTGATTATGATATGAAATTGGTCCCATTGGCATTGCTTTCCACAAGAGGCAGAGGAGAGTTATTCCCTCGTTTTGCACACGCAACGCAGCAGGGCATCGAAGAAGGGGCTATAAATGGTGGCGAAGAGAGTGAGCGAACACTAACATAAGATACTGGGAGCGGGGAATGGGAGATTGGAGCCATCAGAAGTTGTGGGAATGGGCGGTTTGGGATGAAACCTCCCTTCTGTCTTCAGAATCGCTTCTCTTCCCAAAGCCGCCCATTCCGATGATTTCTGTTGCTTCCTCCCTTTCCCTTTCTATTCTTTTTTATGCTATTTCTCAATCACACCTTCAAATAATCTACCCTTCTTTCACAACTATTTTAGATATTTCAAATTTCATTCTTTCAACTCAAAACTTCTTTCAACCAAAATAATTTCATTTCCTACTCTAATTAAAATACCTACTTATTAATATTATTTTAGACACTACTTTTTTTTTATTTTTAATATTTATCCTTTTAGTTTTTTAATATTTTTACCTTTATTTCTTTCATATTTAACTTTTTTAAATTACTTTTGTCATCAGGTCTTATTAACATATAACAACATAATTAAATCTTGTTTTTTTATATCATAAAGGCATAAAAATACTAATATAAACATTTCATTTTATTTAATAAAATCTTTATCTCTTATTTTACAATTAGCAGCTAATTTAATAATTAATTTTATCAAAACTTTAAATTCAATCAACTAACTTTTTACCCTTCACTTAACTTGTTCATCAGTTTTGATAAACACATCCTTAAACGTAAATCTAATTTAGTTTATAGATGTCTAGGACAATTATGTTTAATCGTTTAATTAGAATAATTTTGTTTTATTTTTAATTATAAAATTTTTATTTTTTATTTTATTAAAAGGTATTTTCTATAATTTTTTTAATATAAAATGAAATAAAATAATGTATTAAAAAATATTTTTTTTGAAACTAAATACCTTCTTACATTCTTAAGTTTATGCTTGATTTACTTAATTTTAAAAAGTAATCACTTGTTTTAAGTTTGAATATTTTATTTTATTGTAAACTTAATATAAACGCATCACCTGTTGAAGATACGATATTATGCATATAATTAAACTTAGAGGGGTCAAAACTTGTATAGCTTCATTCTTTTGTAGGTTTCAAGAGGTTCCCTAGGATTAAGAGGGCTAGTGTAATTGTTTCATATGTTGGAGAAAAATATATATATATTCATCGGAGATTGTTATTTGTATCATATGCTTTTGTTAATTGTATCACCTATTTAATTGTCACTTCTAAAATTTAATATTTGAAAGTATGTTTAACTATTTTAAAAATTATATTCTAAAGTTTATTGACAAATCCTTTTTGAAATTCTGAAAATTACTAAAATACATTTCTAGAAATTTAAACGTGGCAATAAAATAAGTGATACCAATAGTACGAGATCGCGTAAAAAATAATCTGCATGTTAAGTTGACAGGCTTAAGGGTACTTGATATCGACCATCAAAAATCAAAAGGGTATTTATCTATGGATAAATATTGTAAGAGTCTTTTTATAATGCAAAATATATATTTTATTAATTATCTAAAATAGTTAAATTATTTTTTATATGTCTTTAATTTTAATTTTTAAAATTTTTTCAAAAATACAGAAACATGAACGATGAATAATATTCTATATATTATTTTTAGTTAATAGAATTATTTTTTATTTGAAATATATTAATCATCAAATTCAATAAATAACTATTAATTATTATCTTAAATTACAATTGAAAATGATCTAAAATGTTAAAATATAATTTCTTAAAACTAATGATATATTTTCATGTTTAATATTCTTAATTTAATATTAATTTAAATGTACGTGTGATCCCAAAAAAATATAAACCTAAGCATAAACATTACTTTTTTCAACCCATATATTTATATTAATTTTTCACCAATTTTGTTTACCTTTCTTTCTTTCTTTCTATCTCTTTTTCTTTTCGTCGTATCGTGAATCACATCTCTTGTATTTTTCTGCTTTTTATCTGTCTTTTGTTCCGACCCCTCTACCCCAAAAATGGGAGTCCATTATTCTACTCATTTTTTTTCTTGACTCAGCTCGGCAAGTCGTATCAACAGAAGGAAAACTTAATGTCTTAAGTCTTAAATATATATAACATTTTAAAATGTCTAAGCCTAAAAGTTTATTTAAAATTTTATTTAAATATATTAATAAGCTAATAAATATATAATATTAAGATATTTAAAATTACATATTACATGATATTTTGAGTTAAATATTATTTAAAAAAAATAATTGAACTTGTTGAAAAAAATAGTTTGACTGAGGCTACGTGGTAGATTCCTATCCGCAAATATGATTATGATGTTATGGATAATTTTATGTGAAAGTTTGTAGATATTTGGTACCTTTTAAGCTGTAACCACCAGGCCAATTAATTTTATCCAATAACAACCCCCTCTCAACAATCTTGAAGCTTCTTCCACTCTCCCATTCCAGAGCATGAGTTTCTACCACCAACACAACAGGCGCCCTCCGCCGCCTGGTCCCCCAGGCCCACCGCATGCGCCGCCTGGACCACCGGGACCACCGCCGCCTGTCCTCCACCAAGGACCGCCGCCGCCCGTCCTCCACCATGGACCACCGCCACCAGGTTCCTTTGCTCCCCCACCGCCAGCACCTCTGCATCACCATCCTCCACCAGATCCGTGTCCACCAATGGTGCAGCATCAGCATGGGCCTCCCGGGCCGCCTCCGCCTCGTGGGCCCCCGGGCCCTCCACCGCCTGGCTGGGCCAATCCTCCTCCTCCTCCACGCCCACCTTATTACTAATCTATCACTCTAGTAAGTTGCTCATCGCAGACCATATCACATAATTAGTAAGTTGTTTTAATTTCGTTTCCCTTCTTTGCTGCATCCAATTACTCATGTAGATTTTTATCCACCCGCTTTAATTATATCCTCCTAAATAATAATAATAATAATGGTAGGTGCTTATTATGTATAATCTGTAATATGTTTTGTTACTTATTGGACGCGTGCTCAAATATATTTGTGTTCTTACAAAGGACCAATATATGTCTTGTATTATTACAACCCGTGTGTTAGCAGATTTCTTCCTTATTTAACGGATTAGAGAAAGTACGCGAATGCCATGATTTTTAGGACGGAGTTAATTAGCCATAACATAATATCTGAGCCTTGTCAAATAAGTCTAAGCACCAAGCATCGTCTTCCGTGGTTGTTCCTCTTTTTTTTTTTAAAGAATAATCAAAATCTTCAAAAGATTCTTGATCAACGTTGCTCTTTCAAGCTTTATTCTCCTCTTTTAATATTTATAATTCTGGTTTGAGGAAAGCAAAGCATAACTCAAGAGTCCCAGAGATAAAAGCATATATAGAAGCAAGAACCTGTTTTTCCCATTTTGTTATAATGCTGTTGAGAAAGCGATTAAGTATGCTGATATTCTAAATTCTAATTCTGAAGATATTCTTTTGTAAATATATGATATGACAGATGATTCCCCCTCTCCCTTCCCCCAAAATTATGATGTCTTTAATGATCACAAAGGATTAGGATTTTATGAACAATAAATCAGAGGCCATCATTTTGCATTACGTTCAAAGTTGATTTCATATTTGCCACATAATGTTAAACTTATATTTCATGCCAACGCACAAAGGTACGAAATAGTGCAAAGCTTAGTATGAAGGACAAGTAATTGTAACAGGTGTAGGACCATAATAGCACAAACAGCGTTGGCTGCCGGGCTATTTGGCTGTATCCTGAAAAGCTACCAATATTGTGTGATGTGTTAATTTTTTATGTAATTAAACGAAAATTGCATATGAGATGCCACTTGAGTTGTTGGGATTATATGACGCAGGATCAAAAATATTAAAATTAAAAGGGCTCCACTGTTGATAGAATTAAGGGTAGCAATCTTCTTAACAGAATTGGGAGCTTGATTGATAAGCTTTTGAATGTCTGTAGAGAGCAAACAAGTGCAGATTTTCTTTTAGTACTTTTCCCCTTAGTGATCAGATCCATCTGAAAAACAGGGACATTATACAGAACATTTTTATTTTATAAAGATTTGTCAAGAAAAAGTAACTTATTTCTATATATATATATATATATATATTTGAACATGATGAACATGATGAAAATAATAAACATGATTATTTTTTTAATTTTTTCATTTCTTAATTGTTCTTCAATTTTTTTATATTCTATTTCTTTATTTATAAACTTAATCTGTTTTTGTTTTCTTTCTATTTGATTTAGTCTAATTATTGATGCTTCTTGAACTAGATTTAATTCTCTAATTTTTGGTGGTTGTAAAAATTCAAATTTGATTTGTCTATCTGGTATCAAAGCCTAAACGGGTTCTGATTTCAGAAGGGGAGAGAGAGGTTTACATTATTTGAATTTATTTGAACATT